CTGAATCCCTTATTTTATATCAGCCTATAGTCAACAATACTTTTTATTAGATGAATTTGTTTTAAATGAGTTGCTTTTAATGTTTTCCTGCAAACTGATTTATAGGCAGACTACTTACCATATTAGTTCCTGGTAGACATGATATGTCTTAGACGTGATATGAGTTTAGAACTTTACTTAGACATGATATGAGTTTAGAACCATGTCATGCGATATCTTTGTATTACTTAACAGAAACTGTCTCATTACTGTAATGACACTACTGAAAAATAATAATATTCAAATACTGGCTCTCACTGCAATGCAAAAACTACTGTTAGTTAATTACATTGAGAACCTAACATTACCAAGAGAGAGAGTAAAATACATACTACAAACACTCCTTAACTAGGACAATTTTTAACATAAACTAAAAATGCCCACTACCAGAAAACTATAGATGTTCAAAAGAAAGACAGCTGAACCTTCCATAATTTCAGTTTACACTAAGAAGTGTAATGTTTCCAGCTGTGAAGATCAGTGTTACCTTTCAGTTATGTATAATGAATAATTTCCCAGTAATAATCCCAGTGTAATCTAGATTCATCTTTAATCTTCTGAAGAACTAAGTCCTACACATAATTTTATACATATAATGTCTCAAAGAAAAAATAACAAAAAATTAGAGTAGAAAAGGGAATAAAGAAGTAGAAAAAACAAACAATGAAAAATTAAAATGTACATTAATCTCTTACCTCAAAAGATTTTTTCATGTTGCTAATTGTCCTCAGGAGTAGATAGGGATTATCATGCCTTTGGGAGTGCTGTCCAGAAGATGGTCCTGAATTGGAACTTGCCAGCAGAAATCTAGAGCAGATCATAGCCTGGGACCTACACAGCCAGGAAAATGAGTATGAAGCCAGAAAACAAATAACAAGGAAAGTTTTTACTTCCCTCTAGTTTTGTCTAGGAAAAAAACAAAAAACAAAACACTGTCCCTGGCATCAACATAGATGATTGCAGATTATATTATCTGATGTTCATAAGAGTAATAGCCTAGTTGGGTTGGACCTTTACTTGCTCTTTCTTTATTTTTTTTAAGATTTTATTTATTTATTTGAGAGAGAAAGAGATAGAGAGAGTGGGGGGAGGAGCAGAGGGAGAGGAACAAGCAGACTCTGTGCTGAGCATGGAACCCAACATGGGGCTTGATGCGGGGCTGGACATGGGTGTGACATGGGGCTCCACTCGGGGCTTGACATGGGCCCCACATGGGGCTGGACACAAGACTCGATCTCAGGACCCTGAGATCATGACCTGAGCCGAAGCCAAGAGCTGGAAGTTTAACCGACTGAGCCACCCAGGCGCCCCTAGTTGCTCTTTCTTTAAAGCAGAAATACTAAGGTAGAAGACCTGAAAGAATGTAGGACTGGGGAAAGACCTTGGTGAAGAATTATTTACAAGTCTTGAGTTCCTTGATGTGCCAGGCCTGTTATATAATTACTCAATTGAGTCTGAACAGCAACCTGTGAGATGGGCTATTATTATTTCCATTTCATGGATGAGGCATTGAAACCCAATGAGTTTGAGTATGAAATAAGTAGAATGTAGCAATGCTAGAGTTTGTACCCACATTTCTCTGAATTAAAGTCCATGTGACTTCCTTTAACTTAAAATATAAAAAACAGTGATCTCCTGTATAGAAAGATATGATGGATAGATGGATGGTTGAATGGACGGCAGGTAGGATGGTTAAATGGTTAGGATGGGGGCACCTGGGTGGCTCAGTTGGTTGAGCGACTGCCTTCGGCTCAGGTCATGATCCTGGAGTCCCTGGATCGAGTTCCGCATCGGGCTCCCTGCTTGGCGAGGAGCCTGCTTCTCCCTCTAACCCTCCCCTCTCTCATGTACTCTCTCTCTCTCTCATTCTCGCTCTCTCAAATAAATAAATAAATCTTAAAAAAAAATGGTTAGGATGAGTGATTTTATATATAGAGAGAGAGAGAGAGAGAGAGATCTCATACACACATATCATAACTCTTATGTTATCATTTTCGTAGGTCTGATTTTGTTACTCTCTTTGTCTTCTTTGTTTGGCATGTTTACCATTAATCTTCTCTGAACTCTACCCAAACCCTGTGTGAATTTTCTCCTCTCCCAGGAGCCAGGCTGTAAGGGTAAAGCTTACCCCAGGAGATCTGCTGATTAGGTTTCCATTGGGAAAAGGCCATCTCTCCTTGGGGGAAGCTGCCACCTCTGCATTGATGGCAGGATTTGCTTAGAGGAAGATTTTAAAGAGGCTGGACCAATTGAAACCCTCAGAACAATCCTATGTTAATTTTTTTCACACTGCAAAATTAATATTAAACAATCAACATTGCCTGTTTGAAGTTTTAGCAATATTATTCTCTCCAAAAAAATTGAAGATAATATGTCATTAACAGGGCTCCCACACACCCTGTTTGATCATTCTAAAATAGCATTTCTTAAAGTCTGTTAAATCCTTTTAAGGAAAAATAGTTAATTTTCCCAAGATTGAGGTAAATTATTATCTTATGTTTTGCTTAATGTAAAATAAAATTGCCTTCTTCATAAGTTCTTATTCAACTATGAAACTCAAACACACCTATAAATGAACTTTATTTGAAACAACAAAACCAATTAAATTCAAATGTCCTACTACTTAGCATGTAAAATAAATAGTATTGCTTTATTGAAACTAAATTATCACTCACAAAAAATGTGGTTCTGGCTGATACAGTACATTTTATTTAGGTTGGACATGCCCATTCCATTCTGACTGGAGAGAAGTAATGATTCAATTTTTCCTTCCCTTGCCTGTAGAATATTCTGAAAGTCTGTTGTATAGTGTACCATGATGGTTTTTGGCCTACATCTTGTGTGAATGCATTTTTTATTGTATAATTTTCACTCTGTTCTCTTCTTATTAGCCCACAACAGATAAACTAATTGTCTGAGGTGTCAAAATTATTCTAAATGCAATTCCAAACAAAATGACAAATAATGTAGCATTGCTCAGTTATAATTTGTTCACATAAACCAATAGATGCTTTTTATTATTTTTATTGGATTTTTTTCCCAATTTAAGAAATTTAATTCATGTTAAGCATTCTCGGACTCTGAAAAATTGATCAGTAGGTACACAAGAATCTGGGACCCTCATTTAAGAGATGGTTAAACATCAAAACTTAAATAAGAATTCAGTAAATGATTAATTGGGGGGTTAAGTTAGTAAATATAATACTGAGCATGGATTATTTCTAAATTTGTGTAAATACCATGAACAAGACCTTTCATGTTAATTTTTCATACTTTCAAAAAGTTGTGTTAAGCAACCAATCTGAGTAAAGGTCAAGGAGAGGAGCATTACATTCAGAGATTGCAACAATGATAGAGAGAGAGTCCTTGACTTGGGAAACTTTACATAGCCAGGGAGATAAGGCATGTGTACCAGCACAATTCCATGCCAGATGTACCAAATGCCATAGGAGAGATTATATTTTGTGTCAATGCCAGCAGGGAAATGCAGGAATGATCCATAAAATACATGGGTTTTATGTATGTCCCATTTTCTGCAGTGTTTGCTGTACCTCTCCATTACACTGAATTTCCTATGAAACACTGAGGTTCTAGAAGTGCTAAAAATCATTTTATTGGTTTTTTAAATGTCTGAATTTCATTGCAAATTAATATATGCAAGTGAGGTAAGTTATCTATTACACTAGCTAACTTTATAAGATGTATAGGTAGGTAGGTAGATGATAGAGATGATAGATGATAGATGGATGGATAGATGATAGATAGATAGATGATAGATAGATAGATAATAGATAGGTACATACATACATGCATGGATATATATATAGTATTGCTCAGTTGTGGTCAGTTGCTTGTTTCATAGTCTCAAAACATATTCAAGACTAGCAGTTTTGTACTTTAGGTAGACAGCAGATCTGAGAGTGAATATGTTGCCTTAGTTCATACCTTTAGAAAAGTTCATATTTTTCCATTGATCATTCTCACATGACTGTTAGAGAAGTTTATGGTTGTTTTCTCATTATTCCTTCTGCTGTTTTCCTGCTTGGGAGAAAGAACAGCATAATAGTTAGGAAACTGGGGTTCTAATCTCAGTTTGCCTCCATCAGCTGCGTGCACTTGAGCAAATCTCATAACCTAGCCTTTACATCCTCGTCTACAAAATGAGAGGATTTAGATATATAGTCAAGTAGCTATTTAAAAAGTCAGTTATCTGGCATCTCACAGACTGGTCATTTTAATGATGAACCTCCCCCCACTTTTTAATGAAATGATTACACTGACTAGGTAAGTGTATATCATATGGCCTTAAAGATCCTTAAAACATCTGCTATCTAGAAAAGCAGTAGCTCTTTAGAAAGAGGCCATCTGATATATCATTTCCGTGTATTTCATTCAAATTTTCTCTTCCCAGGTCTTTCTTAATTGGTCTTGTTCACATTGATCCTGGATAATGCTGTTTGATCACAGATTCACATTTTGAGGCATCTTCTTTAGGTTTTAAATTATGGTATTTCTGCAAATCAGCACAGAAACATATTGTAAGGAAACTTTTCTAGAAAACTACAAAACATTTTATATTAAATCCAAAATGAATCTTTTCTTTTCTGAATTTGTTTTACTTGGTACAAAATTTTTAATTGTTTCTGTTTGTATAAACAGCTTTTTAAAAATAAACTGCCATACAAATTATTTTTCTTTCATTCCGTGTTCATTTTGCCTAGCTCCCAGAATGCCAGTCCCTTTTATTTCCTCTTTTTTTTTTCTTTTTTTCTTCTTTTCTGTTTTTGGTTACAATATATGTATTTGTGTTTTAGCTGCAATTTAGTAAATTCTATTGTACTTTTTTGGGGGAAGACAGAAAAGAAAATTCTAGTCAACTATATTGTTTCATTACTTTTCCTCTTTGCTACCTGTTTTGGACATCTCACTCTTTTATTTTCTTTTGTTACTATTTATTACAGAGGAAGTGTCTGCAAGGATAGTTCAAGTAGTCACGGCTGAGGCTGTAGCGGTCCTGAAAGGTGAACAAGAGAAAGAAGCTCAACAGAAAGATCAGCCTGCAGCTCTGCCTTTAGGTAAATGTTCAAGAGCTGTATCTGCTTGCACCCTGATTGCAGGACCAAGTCTTCATGGTCAAAGAGAGGCCCTATCTCATACTTCATCCTTACATGGAACATTCATCAGACACCTCTGTTGGGAGACCCTGGCACCTATTTTCACCTTTTTTGACAGGCTCATTTGTAGTATTTGGACAGTCTTCACAGTGATAAGCTTATAGTTAGACTTTACCCCTAAATTTCTCTTAAATTTTCATTTCCAGACCTCTAGAGATATTTATTACAAAAATAAAGCCAATGCATATTGATGTCATGGCACCCACTTGTAAAGAAAAAGTGTTAATACTTCAATTAGAAATAAGTATTTCCCTTTGTGGGTTTTGGGGAATGCTTGTCTCGTTTGTTTGGGTCCCTCTGAACCAACTACAGAAAACCTATAGTCGGGGCTTTGTTAGAATCATGAGGGACTTTGTAGCCCATATAATGTACTAGCCTTCACTTGGTCTGTTTAAGGGCACTGAGATAGCATTTCTCTCTCTCTCGGTCACAAGTCAGATACCCTCCAGGGCCAAACAGGTAATATAATTGTGCTTGCTGAAGAAAACACTCCTAACCAAAGGCTTGCTGCCCTTCCTTTAGATAGATGATAGATGATTGATAGATAGATGATAGATTAGATAGGTAGGTAGGTAGATAGATAGATAGATAGATAGATAGATAGATAGATAGATAGATAGATAGATAGAAGATAGATAGATGTGGTGTATATACAGGCAGAGACAAGAAAGGAAACTCTCTTAGGTTCAACATATGTCTATTTTATAGGTATATTTAACTAATCCATAGAAAAGTATGGTTTTTAAAGTCTAAAAAAAGAGTACATATCCAATTTTGTCTCAAACAGTCTAGTACCCTTAATATTTGATTTTCTGGTCAGTACTCCTTTAAGCAATTTAAACACCTAAAAAAATTAAGCAATAAAAATTCTGTTCTCCCAGGATAATAAATACTCATTATTTGCAGTAAAATGTTCTTTGATTATAAAGGTTTATTTTTCTCTTTAAACAGGGGGAAAATTATCTTATTCAAAACATTAACCTTCAGTTTGTGGTTCACTTCTATACCTTAAATAAAAAACACCCCCTTTCTTAAATAGAAACCCACAGGGTCAAGGAACTAAGAAGTCACCTGTCATCCCAAAGCTGCTTTTTGAGAGTGAAAAACACATGCTCTGTAAAATAGATTTTCCTGCTGGCCTTGATGATAAATACTTCCTTTTTGCAGTTCCTTACCTTCATATGAGTGGTCAAGAAAAAAGAGTTAACTGTGGATGAATGACATCGTTTAGAACTTTTGTCTTTGGTTCTCATGTATAATGCCAAGGCCAGAATATTACTCGGCTCCCACAAGTACATATTGTCTGTTTGAAGGTTGCCTTAGGCTGTGACAGCTTCATTTTTCTTTTCTGAGAATACATACAGAAGATGCATTTTGACATTAGACTCAGTGGACAAAACGTTGTTTAAAAAATACATCACCTATAATACTGTGACTGATGAAGGTTACGTTTGTTTCCAGACCAAGAAGTTGAACAATATAGAGTTCTGATATTTTTTTCAGTCAGTCAAGCTAAATCCAAACTACAATGCTTGACTGTGTGTTTGAATATAGTAGATTAGGGCCAGAATAAAATAGTTTATTAATTGAACAAGCAGACACAATTAATGGGATTAATGATACCTTAGCAGGCATCTTTAATCCATTTTTATAGGGAAGACAAAATGACTTTTTTTTTAATATTAAATGCTTTTCTTTCCTTTTAGGTTTTTTAAACTATGTGAATCAGGTAATGGAACAGAAAATAAGTCAAGTGCAGCTTACTAGTGAATCTTTTCCTGAATTTCATAGAGAGACCTTTTTACAGATGGCAGAGCTGTTACACATCTAATGGCCTAACAGGATTAACTGTATCTCATTTTTCCACTATTTGATCTTTAGCAGCTGAAGAAACAGCTAATCTGCCTCCTTCTCCACCTCCATCACCAGCCTCAGAACAGACCATCACAGTGGAAGAAGGTAAGACCTAGTGGACTTTTTGAGGTTTGTCTTCTGATAAAGGGTAAATTAGCATCAGTCCATAGCAGTGGACTTCAGTGTGGGTTAGTATGTGACCCAGCTTGAGAGCTGTCTGTTTCAAACAGTCCAGAAGACACAGACTTCACATAAATGTATAGTCATTTATCTATACAAAATCAGAAGTAGGAGGAATATGATAAATAAAAAAGGAAAAATCTGCTTGATCCAGGAGAAGATAACTTTGTGTTTAAATTGCTAGAATAGCTACAGAGAAGCAGTTCACTTAATTAATATAAAATGTTTTGACACAGAAGATACAATCCTATCTTATAAGTGACTGAACAAAAGTAAATTTATTGATGAAATCATAAGGAAATGTTGTCAGGAATTGTCTCTGTTTTGCTCATTATTGTGTTGCCAGGGGCTTCCCTAGGGCCTGACCCATAGCAAACTGTCAATAAATATTAATGAATAAGTGAAGAAGTCAGTGTATGACTCTGATATTGAGAGCAGTGAACTAGAAGCTGAGATCATGGCTTCTTCCCTGCTGAGACCTGTTATTGTCATGAGTATATTTATGCATTTAGTCAACACAGAATGCTATGTCAGCTTTTCAGTTCTCGTTTAATAAAACAGAGGGATGCCTTTGAAGAATATTCATTCAGAATCTGAGCTGAAAGGCACTGTTTAAAAGCAAACTATTACTGGTTTTCTGACTTAAGTCAGTTAACTTTTATGTATTGTTTGAGGTACAGAAGGCAGAGAAGAGCTATAGCTAAAGTGTTGTTTCAATATAACTTAGTTTTCATATACTAAAATCAGAATTTTAATACTATTCCATATTATTCATTTATTTTTTCATTTTTCCATTTGTTGTCCCTTTTAGCAATTATTTTACTGTTAAAAATTGAAAAGCATCACAAAAGACTCACTGTCTTTTTATAATTTGTGATTAGTTTCATTTAAAATATTCTTTGACTTCCTAAATACAGATTTTCCTAAATTACAGAACTATGAACTCTCAGTAAACATAATTTACTTTTGTCACAGATTTATAAACCTAAACTTCTTTTAGTGAGCTTTTTCTTTCTTAAGTTGAAGCTTTTTTTCTAATTTACTGCCTGAAATAATGTTAGCTGAACTAAATTATTCTGAAAAATAAAAGAAAATTTGGGGACTATAATCAGTGGCAATTATGATTATTAGTTAATTTCCTGAAAATGTGATTTGATCTTTTAGTTTACAGATTTGAAAGATTTTTTGCCTTCATCCATTCATTGGCACATATTTATGGAGCACCTACAGTGCGCTCTTTAAATTCTAGCTATACACTCGTGAACAAAACAGACATGATCCCTGCTTGTAAGGAACACACAGTCTGGTGGAGAACAGAAAGCCAGTAAAGAAGCTTACCAATAATTTCAACTTGCATTAGCCCTAGGAAGGAAAAGAACAGAGAACTTGAAGATAGACCAAGGGAAATCTTAATTTTGGGGGTGGTGAGGAGACAGGTAAGGAGCTGAGCTCAGAAGCATGAGGAAGAGTTGGTCAAGCAAAGATGGAGGGAAAGGGCTTTGGGACAGAAAGACCAGGACGTGCAAGGGACTCACGTGAGCAAGAATATGAAGTTTTCTAGGAACTGAAGACATCCCATGGCTCCTGGGAAGTGAGAAAGGGGTAGAGTAGTGAAGGGGTTTAAGAGTCAGCAGTATGCGCCTTGGTTCAGGAGTCTCGATTTCACCTGGAAAGCAGTGGAAAGCCTTCCATGACAGCTGTACATCCCTCCGGTCATTGAAAATGTCTCTAAACCCCCACTTCAAGCCTTTCAGAGAATCTTCTTAACCCAAGATGTTCACTGGGTACGGCGTTCACTCCAGAGTCAGCTGGAGGTCAAGTAACTTACCCTTCTCGCTCTTATATGGGAGTTGGAGCAGAAGGAGCAGTAGGGTCTGCCCATCCACCTGGGAATTCACCCAGTCTGCTTTCCTGGCAGGTGATATCATGGATATAATGAAAATACAAATAAACCATAGAATCATTTTCACATTTTGGTACACTTTCCAGAATAACTGTTTCCTTATGTCAGGGGATTGCTTTCCCCATGTTGTTTGAGTATGGGGAAAATTTCAACTTACTTCCTATTGAAGATGATTGAAGATATTTTATTCTTAACATTTTTCAAACCAAACTTGTATTTTTATTGAATTACTATTTTTCATGTTTTCAGAAGAAAGCATTAAACTATACGAAGGCCTAATGATTTGCTTTTAAAAGGATAACCATTTTTTTACTTATATGAAAAAAGTATGTATTTTATAAACTCTACCTCATTAATTTAAAAGACCAAGTAATATTATTACCTTACATATGTGAAAGACATGAGTCTAGATAATCATACTAGCCCCTGTCTTATTTTAGCCCACTCTTAAAGCATGTACAAAAATTTTTTTTAAGTTTTATTTATCATAAAATAAATTAGTGAAAAGTCACAAGACAGGATTCAACTCTTCAGTTTTTCAAACCAATTGGTTTACAAAGACCTAGGAAAAATTCTATTAATGTATAGCTCATACAGGTTGAGTGGGAAAGGAACATGTAGGTTTTTCATCTAGGAGATTTTTTTTTACCCACTTCAACACATCCTCAAAGAAACTTTAAAGGCACATGACTGCCAATCCATTTATACAAATGTAAGACAGCTCTTGGATTAAATTGAGTAATTCAATGATTTTGAGGATATGATTACTTTTTATTAATTATCAAATATTTTTAAAAGCTGTTCTTTCCCAAAGGGGAAGCATGAATGCTTCCACCAAAGATAATTTGAGATGTTAATTACTGTAAGTTCTGAATATTCATTTGTTATAATTGATATAATATTAATAATTCCCAAGTTGTATGCTTATTCTGGGAAACAAAGAGATTTTGATGGAAAAAATAAACAAGTAGCACACTTAAAAGGAAACTCAGGTACAACGCATCAATCCCGCACTAGGTGTGATGTTTGCAAATTAATCTCCTGTTTCTTTTTGGCCTAACCATAATAGTTGTCATTTGGACTGAACTGTTAGGATTTGGAAGCCGTGCAAGAGCAATGGAATCATCTGAAAATAGAACGAGGAAACTTTCTGCCCTCTTAGGTTTGCTCCAGAATCCTAGGGTGATTTTTCCTGGGTCAGCGATGTCACTAATCTGAAAGCATTTTCCCCTCCATATCCTTCTGGGCAGCAAACACAGTTGGCAAACTAAGTCCTCAGTCAAAAGCCTGCAGCATGGAAAGGGCTTAGAGAGAGTGGAGAACAATGTAAGCAGAGCCAGTTGCCCCAGACAGTGGGGCAGAAGCTGTGATGCCAAGGCAGGCAAAAATCACTGAGTCCCCCAGAGACTCCGTCTTTCATAAAAGTGACTGCTCATTTGTACCAAAGGGGGTTGACAGACCAAGGCTGGGTTTTATGTGGCAGATCTTACTTTAACTCAAAATTAATTTTCAAATGCTTTTTTTAAAAAAATCATGTAAAATAAGTTAGGGAAAATGTATTCCTCCACCAAAATCAGGTAAGCTTCATTTTTAAAGATTATCATTATGCAGTAGAACTATGTAAAAGTCTAAGGTTCATAAGGCAGCCCTATCCTTTAAAATATCACATTATTAAATAGAATATTTCGTGGTGAAAGCAGAGTCCACCAAAGCATGTGTACTTACAGTAAAAGGACGACATTCAATCCTGACCTTAAAACAACAAAACTAACTTATGAAATGAATTCACTTTTTGCAAATCTCTCAAGTCTAAATTTGATGTCTCCAATGAAGGGAAAGCAGAGGTACATGACAATTTGCCTGAGTATATTGAAGACAAAGATGATAACACGCGTGGAGTCCAGCATTGTGCTCAGCACTTTCTCAGATCTCTCCTCATTTAATCCTCCCGGCAGCCCATAGAGGTAGATAATACTCACTTCCACTTCTTGCCCCTGGATGTCGTGGCCAGTAATCCAGAATTCCAGTCCAAATTTCAGTCCTTGCAATCACAGCCCCACTGTGTCTCTAAAGCCATCTCTTATCTAGGTTCTTAATGTGGGGCCAAGAAAGGGAAATGATCTTCCAATGAGAGTTTTTTTGTTGTTCAAGGTACTAGACCAATTTCCTTTTTTTTGAAAGCATACCCAAATAAAGAACTCATTACTTATAACTGGTATGTATCCCACCTCCACTGGGATGCCATACATGATTCCATAGCAAATAGGATCTATTTCTTCTGTCATTATTTTGGAACCAAGCACACTGTTTGGTCTTAGCGAGCTACGGTCCTCTTAGTAGAACTTCCTTAGCACATCGCTGGAACTTGCAGATGGACTTCAGGCTCATAGGTCCCAAACAGAGACATGGAGCACACACAGCTCATAGTACCAAGACTGGGTTTTGCCGTACATTCTTTTTGAAGTTGCTTGGCTCAGTGCCATACAAATACTACAAAGAAGCTCCTTTCCACCGTAGCCCTTAAAGTTTTTTGCTCTTTTTGTTGTCCTCTGTTTAGAGTAAACATTTTCAGAATAGAAAATACTGTTTCTTTGAAATGTTACACATCTGAAGCAAGACTCTGCTGTTTTCACATGTTGGCACTTTCAAAAATGAGCAATGGCAACAAGAAAGAGAAAGTCAAAATCTTCAAAAGGTCCAAACATCCAAGGAGTATTGCCTTTAAACTCCCAGCTTTCAGCTTCAGATTCTTTAGTTTTATACTGCAGTCAGCTCTACTCCCCAGAAGATGTTAACTATGCCATTTTCACGGACTGATTGTCCATGCAATCTGTTGAGCCTACTGGAAGTTTTAGGAGTAACTTGCATACGTGCATATGCGTTTAGGGCCTTAAGGAGTCCTGGGGGAAATATGAATGGCTAGGACACGTGACAAACCCAGGGCTTATGATTCAGCCAGTGTTGTAGACCAGATCTCAGCCAATTATCTGCTCAGCTGAGAAATCGTGCCGAGTTGGAACTA